GAACAAACAGTAATCTTTTTTAAGTGTTTCCCTAGTTCGCAAATTTCTGTCATTTTGTAAGGGGAATTCACTGACTTCATTTATATTCATCTATATCTGACGCGATTTGAGAAGTTTATAGCGACTTCTAGTGCAGCGGGTGATTTCACAAAATAATAAATAACAGGGTAAGCACATTGTTGCTACATGAAAATAGAATAGCAACAGTAATATTAAAACATATTCTAATCATTTAAATTTCTGAGATCTAATCACAGAACTGACATCATTGCCATTCTTCATATTTCATACTTTACTCGCCACAAGACAGTAACAGCTTTGATGCTGGACAACTGGCGGCTTGCATCCATCACTGTCCTAGTTCTGCTTACTGCCATCTTGGATAAAACTTTCTCCGGCTTCAGCGTTCTAGACACGAGTAGATCATCACTTATGTCTAACACGTGGAAATCGTACAAGTTGATAGGATTCTCTTCTATTGGCTTCTCAATCTACATTAAGAACACATTACGCGTTGACCCACGCTCAGTCTTGGTACGGTCTTAATACACAAAAGAACAGATTTAATTTCTCACTTTTATTATTACTTTAACATATTCACCGCTGCGCCACACGATCTCTGTTAAAATACAGAAAGGCATGGCTTCACTCGCCTCAAACTGGCTGAAAACAGTGCTGCTACTGCATAGCAAAAGAGGAAGAAATCACAGTTTGTAATACAAATACAACATGGGACCTCAGTTCATTTCATTAAAGATTATATGCACTGCCTACTATTAAAATCTTAAGCCACCAAAAAGCTGCTGATAAGCTGTATTATTTAGCCCCACCCAACAGTTCTGACATGGGGGTATAAAAAGCACGTGTATTAGGGATCGTATTACCTGAAAGAAACACACGTATTGTCTCTCAAAGAAAACACTTTAATAACAGATGTTGATTTTGACTAAAAAATATTTGCTCACTTGCCTCTGATGAGATTACAAAGGCAATTTTGATCATCTGCAGTGTCACTTTAACATGTGAAAGCTAAATAAATAAGAGAAATACAATTTCTTTTCTAGAGATTATAAAGTAGCGTTGTGCTGTCAAGTCAATCCAATTTTTGTCTAAATCAATTTATTTGTAGTTGTTCATTAATCAATTGTTTGAAATAAATTGGGTATTTCATAATAAATTATAGGTAAGTTTATATAAAAACTACTCGTTGCGTGGGTTGTTCTCCTTTCTAGATGTTAACCTTCCATTATTTGTTCAAAAAAAGATTTGATAAAATAATGCAACAGTTGCTCTTATCCCAGATTTCACAACTGTCACAATGGGCACAATCCTGGCATTCACAGCTGTCACAACCAGAACATTTTGTCTCCCACAGACAACACACATCTTCTGTTCCCTAAAGCCTTAGCATCACGATTCCTCTTCATAACCTTCACATTGAAAAAATCAGGGTACTTCTGGAGTTTTTTGAAGACAATGGTTGTTTTTGGTCAGCTTTTTCTTTGCAAATATTTGAAGACTATAAAGTCATCACCACTTCACACATCCAAATATTTCCATGTATGAGCCTTTGAACATGGCATCTCCTGCCTGTCCTCCATTTCACTTAGTTTGAACTTCAGTGAGACGTGTCATTGTAACAAATAATCCTTTTTGTTCCACACTTCAGACCAGAAACATCACAGTTGCTTATACTCAAACCGTATCCTAGTTTTCAATCATAGCTGCTACCAGTAATCCTTGCCCCTCAGGTCTCCTTTGCTCCTGTTTGCGCCGTAAGATTTCCGTGTCTTTGGCAATGTGTGAGATGTAGGGCTGTCTATGGGTTTGAATCCTTTCAACTCTGAGCGTATTCTTTCGATTTCTTGTAAATATTGTTTCTGTTCAGTCTCTGTCAGTAGAGTGGTGGTAGGGCTACCCTCAGTGCCAGGAAATAAAACTTTGTCCATTACTGGAAGAAATCAAAATAAATTACTTTGATTATTTTTCTATCAGATTGTTCAAAGTTCCAAGGTGTTGTATTTAGTAACATTTTAATAACCTCAAACTATGCATTCATTTTTTATTTGGATCCATTTTCAAAAACTGTTACAGATTTTTATTCCCATATTTTATGTTGAAAACTTCCTTTCAAATTAAATGGACCTCAACTGAACAGTAAAAACATCTATTTCCAAGAGACTACAACCTAATAACAGAGATGATGTTGGTAAAGTTTACCCTGTAAATGATGTTCCACTTTTCGTAAACTTCGTAGAATACCAGCAAGCTCTTGATTGGCTGTTTTCCAGGCCGGGATGTCGCTTTCTGATGGCTGGTTAAGTAGGTCGTCAACTGGAGACGGCGTGCCACGAATTTGATGCCTCTCTCTTTAAAGTATGCAACACAAGTCTTTACATTATTAATTCTTAACAACATCATGTACAATAAATAAAGCAAGCAATCATGCAAAATACATATCTAGTGAGATTCATTGTTCAAAGGCTTCAAAAGTTGTTCACTTTTGCCATTTTTTACTGACAATTGGTACATAAAAGCTGTATTACTCCTTGTAGAATGTGTAATATCATTTAAAGATATGCAATAAATTTTATTTTATTCTTTACCTTAGCTTGGTCATACTTTTCTCTGTAGATATCTTCAGCTTCTGTGCCAGTTGATGTATGGAAGATACTATCAGGCTATCGTAGGACTGAAAATTAAAGAAAGTGAAAACCATTTTATCCTGCCTCTGAGTTTATTCTAGCAGTTGCTGCTGACAGCTGTTACAATTTAGAGTAATTTATAGTAAAAGTCACAGATGTAAGCCCTGTGTGACATTATAGGGAAGGTTGAATACATGTATGAAAGTAAGAAAAACATCTTCCTCATGCAAAGACCCAAGGGGTGGAACATGTAGCAAAATTAACACATAATACAAAGCTAGTGGAAGGGAAGGCACTTTAAGGAGACATTAACAATTGCAACGAAAGGCAGTTGGTGCTTTAAAGTAAAGTAACATTTCTTTATGAAAGCTAAAATATGCACATCAACCATCAAACCCTCAAATTCTCCTTCCTTTCATGTTTTTTCTCTGAAGTTTCTTATAGCAAAAAAGTTAAACCAAAATTCTAGATACATGACTTGGCGAGCATCTTACTCAATGTCCAGTAACCTGATCATCACCATACCAACCTCGTTTCTGTCCCACTCCCTCCTGCGTATGACACCATCCTCTATCCTGCGAGAGTAAGTGTTTCGCGCCCTATTTTGCGCAGGTGTGAGAGGCGGGGGTGATCTGAGGGGGGAGGGGGATTTGGTAACTTTTGGCACAGAAAAGGCTGAACGACTCGTGCCCGTGCTAAATATACTGGCAGCCCCGTCCTACAATATCACAAAAAATAGGAAACATATACAACACTGGTCTACTACAAGGAAAGCTATGAACAGGGGTACACTTTATACAGTAATATACTATTGGGAATACATATATTACTGTAAAAACTTGAAAATATAGTCTTGAAAATTTTTTTTCAGAAGACTATTCTTTGCTGACATCATTTTTTTCACTTAGAAAATTTTGTCAAACTTGAAAATGGGCCTCTGGATAGTTTAGAAAAGTTCTTCAACTAATATGGCCACGTCAGATTTGGGCATTTTCAAATATTAATTACTTTTTAAGTGTGAAATTTTCAAGTTTTTACCATAACAATAACAGAAATAACCATCAGTTTTCCAAAAATATTAAATGTGACTGTAAGCTTTGCCAAACAAAAATTTACAAAATCAAGTTGAAGTGGTCATAATTTTCCTTTGCCTAAAAGTATATTAAAATAAGTCTTATTATATTTAATGTGGGATATTTAAATATAAATGTAACCAATTGTTGTCCATTTTCTTAAAAATCCATCTATACGATTTGTTCATTTTTGTGGGCTATAACCATTTTACTTCTTTCATGCTTATTATGACAAAAATGATACATTGTACCACAACATATTACGCTTAAATTCATAAGAAATACAACACAAAGCAGCATGCACATTAATAAAGAAAAAAAATACAAAAACACTTTCTTGTTTTCAATCCATTAAAGATTTACTCAAATGAATTAAGTTTGAAATGAATAATTGTGTTTTATCATGTATGTGTGCACGTGCGTGCATGTGGATGTATGCAAGTACAAGAACTGCCATCTCATCTCATCGCTGAAATTGCTCTTAGCAGAGTACCACACTTGAGAAACATTAAATGAGATGTTGCTGATAGAATATTTCATCCAGTGAAGGTATACTAACTGGCTGTCCTCACAAGCATGCAGGCATTGTAATAAATAACATGGACACTACAGATAAGCCAACAGAATGTATGGGGTCACGGAATCCTCAAATAGGCCTAGAGAATAATAAGGTGAGTGTAATGTGTATTATTTTCTGTCAAATATAATACAAATGACATGATATTTACTCTTCAAATCTTCAACCTCAACATAACACATGCACATTATGAGTATTACCTCAGCAGTGTCCTTGACACTAGTGAACGCGCTCTGGTGATCCTCGTCTTCTGAAAGCCCTCGCGCAAGGTTGCCAAGACTACGGGCAATTTCCGTACTGAATTTTGTGATTTCTGCAGATTCTGTTGTGCTTCTTCCAAAATCATCATCATCATCTTCTTGTTCGATGTTACTTGCAAAATTAGCGTACTCATCCTCCGAATCTTCCACAATTCTTTCTTCAAGATCTTTTGAGGAATTAAAGGAAGATGAGCGAATGAGTTTCTGAGACTTTTTATCCTCTTTTGCTTTGATCTTTGCTTCAGCAACTGCTTTTCTAGGATCATAAGATTTCCTGCGATTCCATGCGTTGCGCTCGGCAGATTTGGGAGAATTAGACCTACTATTTGGTTGTGATAAACTTCCACTTCCACCAGGCTTTGCTTTAGTCACTTTGGCTGCTACCTGCTTGGCCGCCTCAGCTTGTTTTTGTCTCGAGGTTACAGTAGATTCACGTAAACTATGCCTTCCACCGTCCCTGCGTGAAAATGGTTGCGATGATGTAGGTGTCTGTTTGGCGTTATTTTCTCTACTTTTCTTTACAATTGCAGCCCCTAAGCTAACCTCACTTCTCCCAGTGGCAGACCGCGGTCTAGCCTGATTGTCTTGGCACTACCTGTCTTTGCTGACGTTGCCCTAGATGAGGCAGCAGAGACTTCAGACCTAGATGTGTCTGATTCAGTTTCTGTCCGTGCTCGTCTGAGCTGAAAGGCTCTGTTAGGCCTGGTAGCAGTGATGGCTCCTTTCCCTTTGGAAGTCTTCCGTGACAACATGGGACTTTCCTCACTAATGTCAGTACTGGCATCATCAGATCTTGCAGATCTGGACTCAGATTCACTTAATAAATCAGAAACCACAGAAGCAGCCGGTGGCTCCCCCTTTGGAGGGTTATAAGGTCCTTTCCTCCACAAAGACTGCGTAGGTTTCTGGGAAGGAGGAGGAGAGGAAGTTTTGACTGGGAATGACTGACGTGAACCACGATATGGACTTGCACCACTGACTGTCTTGCTGCCAGGAGTGTGCTGCTCTGTGGCAGATTTTGAGGCGGGTTGTCTATTAGCACCATTGGCTCCGTTGACCATCACATGGGTACTAGAGTCAGAGTCAGACCCTTCATCACCAGACTGTTTCTGCTGACCTTTCCTTACTCTGGCTTGCATGGCGGCCATGACATGAGCAGTGTCCCGTAACAGCACCTCTGTGTCAATACTCATTGTACTTTTACTGTCTTCATAGTCAGGCTGTTGTCGTCTGCCCTTCCTTTCCACGGGAGTTCTCTCGGGGGTAACTCTCCTGCCCTCACTGGCAAATATTTCACTAACTTCGCTACGGCTTGTTTTCATCCCACCGCTGCCACCATTTGCAGTGACCCTCTTCAGTGTTGATGGCTCAGACCTGCTGATGTCCTTGCCATCCCTGGAGGTATGGCCTGAGATCCTGGGGCTGGGCTCACCACTGCTGCCCCTGGGGGTGGGTGGAGTGGGCAGCTTACGCCCTGTGCCTATCCGCTTACGAGAGCTTACAGCAGGGGGCTGCTTAGCTGTTAGGGAATCTGCATCAAATGTATCTGAAACCAAAATTTGAATCTTTTTAAGCATTTAAACCAAGTAAGGGAGAAAGACAAATTGTCCAACAAAATTTCATACAAAATTTCAGAAATAATTACACTATGACAGAAGTTTTTCATGGTCTCTACATAGGATGACGATATAGAATTATACTTGACTTAGAGAATAAATATATTGATTTAGCATGTAAGTGAAGAATAATTATATGTAAACTGTAACATAGTTTCTTTATCAAAACAAACTGATATTACACATATTCATCAGAGAACCCCTGATAAAGTATTCTCCATACCGTCATCTTCTGTCTCCTTGCTGCTGTCCACAGAGTTCCCCTTCCTGGCTGACCATTCCTGCACCCACCTGGGCTTACCAGAAAACAGCTGAAATCACAATGAGAGGGAGAATTGACTATGAAATATGGGTGATGAAAATCAGTTTACTGCTGTTGATAACTTTGTTGAGCTTGACCATTTATTATAATACAAGAGAAAATAAGAATGAAGAGCAAAAGAAAATGCAATTCCAAACCTTAAATTGTTACATATTCTATTCAAGTCTTTCATTTGGTAAATGTGGTTAACTGCTAGTGTAGTGAGGAGGGGGGGGGGGTCACTGATCATGAAGGTTACTGAAGGCTAACCCTAACTTGACTTCTTCATACAAATTTAAATATACCACAGGGTAAGTTCAATGATGCATATACTAATGCACCACACATGACCCTGTGTTGTGGATCAACCGCCTGTACAAAGATATACACAGTCTTCATACCACCATAACTTTAGCAGTGCCTGGCTTCATATATTGATTCTGTTATTTGGATAACCCGGCTGTAGAAACTATAGCTGCCTAATTCTTTCACACCCATATATAAATATGACCAGTCATTTACTAGAGTTTAACTTATTATTTCGCATCTAATTATTTGATGCATTTCACTAATCTAATGGAAACTTTGTCATTTGACTTAAAATAATTCTAGGTAACGCTTTAACTTCATTAATTAACTGCATAAAAAGAAAGCCATAATTAGAGGGAATAATTATGGAGATTAAATGGGACCCCGCTGTTGGCAATTGATTTACATGACAATATGACTGATAATAGACCATTAATAAAGAGATAAATAACCACCAAAAGCATGAAATTATGACAGCCTTTCCCTTACTTATTGATCATATATCCCAGTTTAAGCTGCTAGGAAGAATGTCAAGAAATATAGTGGTACATCACAATTTACACTCAGACACTGCATTATGTTTTAGCCGAATCACTTGTTTGGATAAGGAAAAATACACAAATAACACATTAAATTTTAAATCTTTAAAATGAAGTATTTTTCCAGTGGTTAAAAATCACATATTGGTATAATTATATCTTATCTAGTCCTTTACCTCTGATAATTCTTTTAAAAAGTTTCTGATATAGTTAACTAAAAACTCTGATGCCTACTGAAATTCAAGGTATTTGAAGTACATAATTTTAGAAAATCTATCACTCAAAAACATTGTAAAAGTATCATCAAATCTATGCAGCAGATAAAAATGCCAATCTAAAAATCTTTACTGGAACAAAGATAATAAATTCAAATTAGGTTCAAGGGGCATTTTTAAATGCAATCATCTGAATACTGTTTCACAAAAACAATGGGTATGAAAACAAGCACTTAATCAATAACGGTGTTCTCAGCTTAAACAAATGAACAAGGTTAAACAAATGGAACTGTGCATCTACCATCAACTCAGTCCAAAACTCTCTCCTTTTTTATATAAATAGTTTTTAAGTGATCCTGATCAATTAGTTCTACATGTCCTTATTGACTCATTACAAATTCATAATACATGCTGACTGTTTCATCACTTTTGATGGGCAACTAATATGAAAAAGAATTTGATAATTGATAACAATGAATGGGAAGTTACGTGTTTAAGTCAGGAAAATTATAAAGGTAACAAAAAGATGTCTAGGTTCCTTAAAAAAGTAATCAAAAGCATAGCCAATCTCTCCCAAATCTCTACCAGTAGTATGCTCTATCTCCAACACATAATTCCATTTGATGAAAACCAATGGATCAAATGAAAACTGATTCTACATCACAGTCATAATTCCAAAAAAGTTCAGTCAACTCTTGTTTAGTCAACCATCTTTTCAAAACATTACCTCAAGTCAACTGCAGAAACTTACCTTCTTCAAAAAGTTTGGAGCATCAAAATTCATGATGCCTCCCCACATGAATGCCCCTCCCTAAGCCAGCACAAAACTGCCAAATAAACCTATCTTAATACTTTCTTGTCCGTATATATATCATACTATAATCAATAGGCTACGTTCTGCCACTCCACTGCATCTAATACAAGTCAATGCCTTTCTTTGGCCCAAAACAGAGTACATCAATAACGGAACAAACAGACTTCACATTCTCAGACACATGTTACTAGTGGTTCTTTTCCCTCACAGCAATGTTGTATGGATTATGTACGGGGTACGTGTGCTAATCTAAGTAATCTTCTCAAACTTTCAGATGTTGCAGTCATTTTGGGGTCACAGGGAACAAACCAACCGCCTGCAGCAAGTTCTTATTTGAAGAAATGTGGCAATGTTTAACCATATTGACAAACTGTTCTTTTGTAACCTTTTATTTATTGAGAGATCTGATAACATTGCACTACTGAAACAAGATGGAACTCTCCATTCCTTGCTCGCAATCTCTGGAATTTGGAGCCCCAAGGCATTGCTATGGTGTTAAGTAGACATTATTTGTAACATATTTAATACACTGAGATATTGTTTAGAACCATATGGTCTCTAAAAATAGGAGTGTAAAGGTAAGAGAAAAATTCTTTCAATAAAGGCTTTCCTCTTTGAGCAACTGTACATTTGAAAACCCTTACAGAGTGGTTGTTAGCTAACAATGGTTTTGTGAGCCATGCCCCTGGTTATTTGATGACACTTTTAAATGCTGATATCTGGCTTTAGACCCAATTCAGATAAATACATCATACTAGGTGGGCCAGTAAAACTGTGGGGGATTCTTGCTAAGTGCAATCAGTGGGTAAAGCTTAATTTTCTGACATGCCTCCCCAAGCAGCTAGCGGGTAATTGACTTTTAACAAGCTGCTGCAGTTAAGCCAATTGCTCTTAGCGAGAGTCCCTGCAGAGTTGGACTGAGCCAACTAGTTTAATGTGTCTGTCTAAATATTGTAGCCAGCAGTTTATGGCTGACACCTTACCTTGTCAGTCTGTGCTGTGCTGCCTATCTCCGCCTCCATACTATTGGCCACCCCCAAATTAGCTCTCTCCCGTTCCAATTCTTCAATCTCCTTTTCCAGTGTGTCCAGATCCTCCACTTGACCTTCACCTTCCTGTCTTTCAAGGTCAAGGCCTTGACATTCATCTTTCTCATTGACCCCATTTTCTATCACAGGTCGTTGTATTAGTATCACAGAACTGTCTCCCACATTAAAAACTTTATCAATATTTTCTCTTGAGATAGCCTCTTCCTCTTTGCTCTTTTCGTCTCCCTCTATTGTATACGTCCCTGCCTCACTCACACTATCTGAATCATTTTTATTGTCATCACCAACAGGAGAATTGGTTTCCATGTCTTGGAGCTGTAAATCATTCTGGTCAAATGACTGTGACTTCTTCATTTGTGAGCTGCTGTCCTTGGGGCTCCTCCTGGGTCTGGGTAAAGTGGCCGACCTAGCCTTCCCTTCCTGTGTGTCGTAGGACTGGGCCTCTTTGTACAGAGCATATTCCGTGGGCTCCTCGGCCCCAGGGTCTCTCCCCCCAGGGTCTCTCCCCCTAGGGTCTCTGGCCCCAGGCCTGGAGGTGCTTTCAAACATTTTCTCAATGAGGAAGGATGATGATGATGACGACTGACTGGCTGATAGTGCTGCAGAATCTTTGGTCTTGTCTCTGTTACCACTGCCCTGCTTGGGGCTTCCTTGCACCCCTGGGGACTGTTGCTGGGACTGAGCTGTGGCTTTCTTTGTACTCCCACCTGTGGCCCGACTGGATGGCTTTCTCTCCCCTGGGGTGCGAGTTTGCCCTGGTGGTTGCTGAGGGGGCTTCTTACCTGAGAAGTAAAGTTATAATTATGATATCAACAAAATTATTCACATTTAGGTCTTTTTATCATTTACTAGAAGATTATCTTGGATCCAAGGTAAAGTGAAGGCATTTATTTATGGCTGAACTTATTCAATTCATCCCAATTAATTATCCAGTCATTAATTCTTGAGAAAAGATGTTTAACACAGTTTGTCTTTATGTACAATATTGGCAAATTCATCAATTAGAAACACATTTTGTCTGAATTGACACTGCTGTCTCAAACAATGTACATTTATAGTTTGTTTATTGATTGATTGCTCTTTTACAATGAACTTTGTTTGCCAATAACTGCAGCCGTGCACTTAGTCTACCTAAGTTCAATAGAAAGGAGTCAAGAAGTATTGATGTACATGGTTAACCTGTAAAGGGTAAGCATGCGACAATTTTATGGCATCCCACGTGAGAAATGAAGGACCATTCCAAGCAGTAGCAATCGCAGCTTTATGATTTCAACTATTCTCTTATCACCTATGTACTTATTTAAAACTAAAGACTTTTAAACAGTTTTATTGTTGCATGATCCTGTCATAGTGTTTAACATAATTTAGTAAGGTAATGACTCAATCTTTTCAATGGGGGAAAATTGGCAATTTTACAGATAGTGTGCTTTTGAAGTTATTGAGTGGTTGCAACAAAATTGAAAAGTAGATGACCTTATAGTTCTATTCTATGCTGTACAAAAATTAAATTTTAATGGTTTTAAAATTATGTAACTGAAAGTTTGATAATTTCTGCCCATCAAAAAGATCGAGTCATTACCATATATCATCAAATCTTGGCCTACCTCTAGTCACAGCAGTATCACTTTTTATGCTTATCTCTTGCTCGTGGTCACTAGGTTGAGAATGGCCCTCTGATGTGTAACCAGTACTTTGTCGTATAGACTTCGAGTGCTTGCCCTTTTCCATAGGGCTTCCCCAGAGGTCGTCCAGTTTCTTCTGCCGCGTGGGAGAGATCACTTCCTGCTGAAATATGGAATTCAGACTATTATTTGAAAACTAAAGAAAAAAATCATCTTGAATAACCATAATCAACACCTTAGAAACAGCTTGCAAGGGCCTTGTGTTACTGATGACCAAGCCTGATTGTCTTCTTTTTTATTCTTTATCTTAGAGAACAAAAGGTTGGCTTAGTTTGGCTCTTAAGGTTCTATCTGTCATTTTTATGTAACAAGTTGGACTCCCTCCCCCAACTCACAAAAAGAGAGAAAAAATATTATTATTGGTTTCAGTCCTGCAGTCCTATAGGTTTTTAAATATATGTGCATTAATAAAAACTTACTTCTTTCAGGGTTTGCTCTTTTTCTCTCAGCTCTTTCTCCCTCTCTTCCTTCTTCTCACGTTTCTCACGCAGACTCCTCCGTACTTTGTGGGGTAGGAACTTACTAAGGCTTTCTGACATGCTTATCTTAGGTGATTTGGTCTCCTCACTGTCTGAAAACTCCACACTGAATGCCACGGCAGACGATGACGACCTATCCAACTTCTCTTTGTCTGTCACTATCTCTTCTGCGGAAACTTTTTCAGTTGATGCCATTTTGTCTCTCTCAGGTGGCAAAGATTTTTCAGTTGGTGAGTCTCTTATAGGTATATCCATATAAACATGCTTGTATTTCTCTTGAGTCTGATACTTTACACCGTTGCTGGCCTTGTTGTTGTTTTGTTCCAGCGGAAGAGAGGCGGGCCTGTCATGATGGCTATTGTTGTCACCTGAAAGACGCAGAAGAAAATGTACACTTTTAAACATTGTATCAAAATGAAACAGCTTTTCAGAGAGGAAAAGACTGCAAAAAAAAAAAAAATTTTTTTAACAAGATGGAAATGAATCACAATGTAGATCTTTTCAAAACTCCACCATCTATGCAGTCATGGCCTCTGTCTTTCTCCTGATATGATGGATCACCTGTGAACAAATGGAAAACTGTACCAAAAGTGGAATTCTCAGTTATTTATAGGATGGTCATTTGTTTTACAAAGCACTCCAATTTTGGGTGACAGCTTGAAGTTATTGGCTCAAGTTTACAAATGAAACACATGAGGCTTCTTAGTTACCATCTGGGCATCTAAAAAGGAAAAAGTGGAATAAACTATGCTGCCTAATTATCACACTGGTACTTGTTGTATTCTGAGTCCATAGATATTGGACCTTGCACCTACACTTTTTTTTTTCTTTTTTCAATGGTGCTATTTGTTTCAATACTATAAAATAATGACACACAGGAACTGTGTTTTAGTCACATGATTAAAGTATGCACAATAAAGCTTTGTCTCCATACACAGGTATATCTGTTAAAATATAAAACTTTGTCTTTCTCTCACACTACCCTACCCTTAATGCCACAGACATATAACATACCGTAGTTTAAATTAAAACATAGTAGATAAATAAATTGCCTTTCATCTATATACTCTCATTTCAAGCTAAAAATATACTCATGTTATTATTATTCAAAACATAACAATAAACATCTTAAGTAAAACATGAAGTGGAATATCAAACAGTCATGGATCTAAAATGGATTTCCCTATATTGAACAAAATAACCCATAACTAGAGGATCAGAGAGGCGATACCGCCTCCAAATATTGTACCACCAGCTGGAGCAAGCGCATTAGTATAGACCCCCACATACACAAAATAAGGGACACAGCCACCAGTTTTGTGCTTGACAAGCTGTAAAAATGCAATCNATTTAACAAGATGGAAATGAATCACAATGTAGATCTTTTCAAAACTCCACCATCTCAGCAGTCATGGCCTGTGTATTTCTTCTGATATAATGGATCACCTGTGAACAAATGGAAAACTGTACCAAAAGTGGAATTCTCAGTTATTTATAGGATGATCATTTGTTTTACAAAAGCTCTCCAATTTTGGGTGACAGCTTGAAGTTATTGGCTCAAGTTTACAAATGAAACACATGAGGCTTCTTAGTTACAATCTGGGCATCTAAAAAGGAAAGAGTGGAATAAACTATGCTGCCTAATTATTACACTGGTACTGGTTGTATTCTGAGTCCATAGATATTGGGCCTTGCACCTACACTTTTTTTTTCTTTTTTCAATGGTGCTATTTGTTTCAATACTATAAAATAATGACACACAGGAACTGTGTATTTGTCACATGACTAAAGTATGCACAATAAAGCTTTGTCTCCATACACAGGTATATCTGTTAAAATATAAAACTTTGTCTTTCTCTCACACTACTCTACCCTTAATGCCACAGACATATAACATACCGTAGTTTAAATTAAAACATAGTAGATAAATAAATTGCCTTTCATCTATATACTCTCATTTCAAGCTAAAAATATACTCATGTTATTATTATTCAAAACATAACAATAAACATCTTAAGTAAAACATGAAGTGGAATATCAAACAGTCATGGATCTAAAATGGATTTCCCTATATTGAACAAAATTACCCATAATAATAATGATAAATACATACAGGCTGCTATGTTTTTACTTTTAGCAGACTTTGAAACCCTATCTCAAAACTAATCAAAGCTGGCATTATAAAATACTAACAACAAGAAATTTGACCTGTTAACAAGACTAACAAGATTTACGTTAAAAAACTCCATTAAATAAATGTATACAGTCAGAGAAAACAATGTTTGCTGCATTTCAGTAAACTGTCTATGCAAACCTGGAGGATATCCATGTCCTCGGCTGTGTAAATCACCTACTAGTACTAACTAGTGCAGCAATGAATTACAACGCTGGTCAAAATACTTCCCCAGACCACTGGCTATATAATCATCATAGTCAACAAGCCATAAAGACTGACAGAAATTTGGTCCAGTTCAGCATGGTATTAACATAAAGTAACACCAGGAAGTGAGTACCCACTACATCATTCTTGATAAGTTGATTTCGGCAGTCAGCTCAGAGGGGGGGGGGTAACTTAGGGATAACATAAGTTCCTTAATGTGAGTTCAGTAGACGGCACAGAGAGGGCAGCAGGATAACTGAAGGCTAACATAAGCTCCTTAATGACCAACCAAGTATCTACTTCCTCCAATGAGCCTGCCAACAATTTAAGTTAAAATGGTGCTGAACGCAGCCTTAGTCGCATGGTGCCCATACATGAGCATGTGCCCTATCTATATGTTAAATGGTGCCCTTTCTGTAGATTACACGTCCTTATGTGCTTCACATACCATTTCCCTGGGCTGTGCTTCTATCATTTGATATCTACCTCTATAGGTGGCTAATAATCTTATCAGATAGCTTAGTGCAAATGATAATGAGTTCTTAAGTCCTGTACTTACAAGTGGTGAATGTAGATTTTGACAAGATTGACTTTTTTATAACATTAGCTTGGTCACATATATGTAGGATATTTGATGAATCAATGCAATTTTATTCACTTTTAACCACATTTTACCATCTAAAAATATGTTAATCATTTGAAAATTCTTAATATTAAGTTACAAAATATACCTTACTCAAACCTTGCTCATATAAGAAATGTATGTAACTAACTCATATTGTTTGAATTTAATGAAAATTTTGCATGTTTTTGATACTTGCTACTTACACACAAAATCCAAGGACCACTAATATATGTCCAGTATACTTCAACGTGAAGAGCCCTAACCAGACTAATGGGAGAAATAAAATGTCCAAATTGAAGACATAGCTTGCAATATACACAGGTGTGCCTGCCTTCAACACTAGCAACATGTGTAGTTTACAAGCTGTTTACATTTGACATGTTGGTGACAAGCCACTTTCTATGTAGATATGATTTATATGATCATGAAGGTCCAAGTTTTAAATGAGCCCCTCCCCCCCCACCCCACCCCTGGCCATGCCGCTACCCATCATCTTTTACACATTATCCATAATACAGCAGCAACTTTTTATGTCTCATTACCAAACATTTTTTCATTTGGGAAAAACACATCTCAAATGCTATTCAGCATTAATAAAGGCATGCAGTTTACATAATATCTCACAATTTTCAATCCACTTTTGAAGCATACTTTTGCATCACAAAAATTATCAAAAATTTAGATATATACAATATCATTATAATGATTTCTTCTCTTCTAAAGCTCTCCTCAGATCTACAGTTTAAAATCATTGATAAACTCGTGTTACATGATCTCTGGCACCAGGTTGTCCATTGTGTGGAGCCTAATCACACGGAAGAAACAACACCTTACATACTGCCCCACTGTGTGCAGACCCCATGGTTCAACACACTCCATAAACTACCACACCACCCCTTAAAATAACAAAAATTACTATATATTAAACCGCAGCTCTGATGTCTTCATTATATCAATACTACAAGTGCCTTGCCTGATGTGTCAACCATGTCACATATAAATATTATGCTATGCTTATAAATCATTTGGGAAAATAATTCTCATATTAAATTTGTTGAGGCCCTGGGTAACATGGAATCAAAACAAAAGGTTGATTACTTTATGTCACAAGCTCTCTCTCCTGAAGAGGCATTACCCTTAGTAAATGAAATATTCACAACTGCAGCTGAAAGGGCTNTATAAATTGAATATAAAAAAAACTTTTGCTAACAAGTAGTAAATGGGTAAGTGATATTCCCCATCATACCACAGAAAATTTAGTCTATAAGATATTCTACACAGATAAATGTGTTCTTTATACCCCCCCAGGCACTGTGCAATATTCTTTATCATAACAATGACAGTGACTAATACTCACAGTATCAAATAATATTTCTGTTCACTCAATGCTTCATCAATTCCTCTCGATAATATCATTTTAGATCATGCATTTTTATGCATTTAATTTCTGTTTCGCATATCAAACATACACACAAACACACATTATATATCACAGCATGATAGACCAATAACATTTTATTTCATAATCCCTGCACATGTAAAATCACCCCACTATTTACTAGTAAAAACTTTTAATTTATGTCTTCTTCACAGGACAAAAATGATGACATACCTGACACTTTGTCTTATTTTCTATCATCAACTTGTGATACAGATCTACTTCTAACTCACCTGTCTGTCAGATATGCCACTCCTCTGCCACACATGCTGATTTCTAGACCAGATATTGTCTATGATGAACTCTCACCATGTCACCAAGTATAGGGGAAACATGTACCTCCACTCCTCCTCTCCCTAATCATCATAAGCCCCCCCCCCCCGACATCATCATCATAATTCTCCCCACTCTCCCTCATCATCATAAGCCCCTCCCACTCCCCCTCCTTATCATAACCCCCCACACCCCACCCCCATTCTCGCTCATCATCAGGAGGAGTGTGCTAAATTTTACTGTGTCAACTAACACCTAAATTAGTCTAACTGATGGCATTATACAAGGCTAGTTAGTAGCTGTTATGTCATATGGTTTCTTGACAGTTATAATATGTACCTGTTTTAGATAAATTATTGTTCTGAACATGTCCTTAGATACTCTGATTTATGCCCTAACATCAGTGAGAACAAAACCACTGTCATGCTTCCCATGTTTTAGTAAAGGGTGACATGGATGTACCCCCTCCTTAAAGATGCATTTTATTATGTCCAAGATGTCAAAGACCTTGTAACTTCATTCATATTATCATATCCAAGATGTCACAGACTTCATCACTTTGTGCATTAAATGTCCTTATTTCCCTCTAATATATGGGAATGGAGGCAGAACCTTGGTGACAATCATCTGAGATAACATAAATATGGCTGAC